ATTTTTATATTTTTTATATATATTTTTTTTATTTATTTATGTATTTATTTATTTATTTTTATATTTATAATAATAAATTTATGAAATAAAATTTAATTATTATATGTTGCATAAAATTTTATTAAATTAGATTAAACTTTCTTAGAACTGAAAAATAAGAATTCAGAGTTTTTTTAGAGTTAAAAAGGTTTCTTTTATTGAAAAGAAATATTTTTGGATCACTTAGAACCGAAAATTTGTTTGCTTTCATTAAAAAGAAATGACTTTTCAGATCTTTTTAGAGCTGAAAAGGTTCCTTTCATTGTAAAGGAATGACTTTTCAGAATTCTTTTAGAGCTGAAAAAGTTCCTTTTATTGTAAAGGAATGACTTTTCAGAACTCTTTAGAGCTGAAAAGGTTCCTTTCATTGTAAAGAAATGACTTTTTGAAACTCTTTTAAAATTGAAAAGGTTCCTTTCATTATAAAGAAATGACTTTTTAGAACTTTTTTAGAGCTGAAAAGGTTCCTTTCATTGTAAAGGAACGACTTTTCAGAACTCTTTTAGAACTGAAAAATCATTTTTCAATAAAAATTTTAGATTTGGATCAGATCAAATTTGGATTTAAACTGATCTGTCAGATCCAGATTTGAGATTCGATCTGTTAGATTCAGATTAGATCTGGATTTTAACGGATCTATCAGATTTGAATCAGATTTGGATTCTGAAAAATAAAAATTAGATCAGATCAGATTTATCCAAATCTGATCTGATTTGATTTTGTAAAACACTACTTAGAGTGTATGCCTCTTTGTTAAGAAATATCTTGATTACTATTGTTTTAATATAGTCATTCAGATTCTTTCAACTCGCAATTTCTTTAGGTAGTCTCCATAGTTTTTTGTAAAATTATCATATTATTTACCCTTTTGCAATGCAGTTTTTATGACTTTAACTTGTGCAAGTTCTATATCCTTATGATCAACCATTTTTATATTGTTTCTACTATAACGATAGAAAAACTTTAATTAATAAAAATATATTTTTTAAAATTTTTTTATCTGAAAAAATATTTATTATAAAACATCTATATCTTGATATGAAGTTTAGCTTTCATAGCCCTTTCTTCTGCTTTTTCAGAAGATATTTCAGATACTATCAGGCGTTATATAATCTAATTCGCTAATGTTTATAGAAAAGAGTTCAAATTCTATCAAGTAAGATCCAGCACTTGTTATCATATGGATTCAGCCCTATCTTATTTACCTTCTTCAGATATATTTGATGATTATAACTATGGAGGTCATACATATTATGTCAGATTAATTTCTTGTTCCTAAGACATTCTAGAAACTTATCATATTAAAGTTCTCTTTTAACTATGCATTTCTTAACATTCTTTGCCTTTTGGATACTATGCTTCTTTTTAGAATCTTTAGAATCTGAGTCATCAGGAGTTTTAGAATTATGGTTTGCTGAAAGGACTGAATATATCTTTAGTTTAAATATACTGATTTATCTATTGAGTTCCTCTTTGTCTTATCCTTCATTAGAAATAAATCTCCTAAATAATTAAGATCAAAAATATCTGGTCTTTCTGCTCAATCTTTATATATGTCTTCAGTTTTTATTCACATTATGAGCAAGTCTATATCTGTATAAAATAGACATGCTTTATTTTTATAGCGAGGCTTTATATAACTGTATCAAAAGTTGAACATCATAACCTTGCTAATATTGAGAATTACCTGCCTTACATAGATTGGTTTGTTTAGAATTACTGTATTTTTTAACATACAGACCTCCACCAAAAGTCTCTGAACGTCATCCTTCAGCTATTTTATACTGAATATATTATATGACTATATAATACTGCAGTTATGTAATATACTTGATCTTGTTTGCTTAAATCAAAACCAAATAAAAGTATGTTTGATTTGTTTATTTTGATTTTTAATCAAAATAAAATTTACCTTCTGAAAATCATAAAAATGTTCAAAGAACAATGCGGTGGTATATATTTTACTATTAATGTGGTAATTATTACTAGGCTATTGTTGCAAATATCGGTTGTGAATTTTTAATAGCATTTAGAATTTTAAAAAGAATGAATGGCACTGGAACCATTAATTCGAGACTTCGTTCTGGTCAACCATCCTTAATTAAAGATTCGCAGCGAAGCTGGCTGAAGTGATTTATCGCAGTAAATTTAGGTTGTAATAAAGTAAATAAAGGCCTGACTAAGTACTAATTATTTAGTACCAAATGTGTAGCATATCATACATTAATGAATAAATTAATAAATTTTTTTAATAAACTTTAAAATTTTAAGATTTATATTGAGCCAAAAAGTGTTCAGAGATTTTTAGCAGGGGTCTGTATAGACTACTGTAATTCCCTCTTCAAATGCTTTAAAGCCTATATATAATAGTGAACTTGCTAAGCATCTGATTTTTTTATTCTCTTCTATTCAGAGTAATTCTACTCTCATATGTTTATGAACATTTTTCATTTGTTTATCAAAGACTATATTGTTCTTTAGCTTATAATATATGATCTCAAACTTGTCTCTATTGGCTTTAGCAATTTTACGCTTACAAATATTTTTCTCAATATAGTCTTTCATCCATAAAGACTGCTGAAATTTAAGAGCACTATGAATCTTTTTAACTTTTATTCTGAACTTTATATATGTCTGAAAAGCTCGATAATGAACTACATAATTCTTTTTAATAAAGAGGGTTTGGACTAGCTTCTCTCCAGACATATATTTTCCATTTCCAACTTCTTTATCTTTCACTAATCTTTCATTATATAGATTAAGCTAATTTTTTGAAACTATCTGCTTTTCAGGTGCTAGCGGATAATCTGTAAAGAAATCATGTAAGTGTACTAGAGTTTTTAAATTAACTTCTAGTATATAGCCTATTTTTGCATCTGACGCTATGTTTTGGATATCTGATATTTTTTCTGATATTACTTTACCTAAATTTCTATAGACATGTATTGGATCATTGCACCTAAATATAAAGCATTCATATCCTCATACATGATCCAGAAATTCAACTTGCTGAACTCATAGTCTGAATATTGTGAATTATTTACTTTAGTGTATTGATGACTTGTTATTATTATGCCTTTACGAATGCCATTTTCTACCGTTAAATATTAATCCATATTTATCATGAGTTTGAGTTCTACTCACTACTTTTATAAAGAGAATTATTAAACATTTCAGGTGTTAAAACATAATGAGAGGGATCTAAGCTGTCATTTTTTAAGTACATGATAGTGTAATTCATGAAAACATCTGCAAGTAAAAGTACATCTGTCTTAAGATAAAGATCATGATATTTTCTAAAGTCTTCATCTTGAATGTTTGCCATATCTTTTAAGCATATTTGTAATTCTCTTTACTAATATTTTGCTGATTAAGAAGTAAATAAAAGTCCTTTCTAGATAGAAGACTTATTATATCAAATTTTTTTCATGCATTTGTCTAGTTATATGAGAATCAGTGTGTAAAATTCATGTGCATAATGTGCACATATGCATATTAAATTTTTATGTGTACATATTACACAGCATAAAATGTACACAAATAATTACTAAAAATAGATAAATTATATATAAAAATGGATAAATTATTTATAAAAATGGAAATATTATATAATACATGCATTAATATTCTATTTTTAATACAATTTGTGTACATGATTTTTAGTCTAAATTTTATACAATGGGTCTAGAACATAGAGTTCATTATAATAAGAGTTGACTGTATAAAATACTATTTGATTAGTCTGTTAATTAAAGTTAATTATAATAATACAAATACATTTGAAAATTTGAAATTTAAAGTATAGAAAAGAAAAAAGTTGAAGAATAGATTAAAAAATATTGCAATTTGTATACATATTCTATTAATATTAAAAGATATAAAAATATAACTTATTGTAAATTACTTAAAGCTAAAAATATAATAAAATTTTTTAAAAGTTATAATAGTTTTTTACTACTTATCATTAAAATTAAAGATAAACATTTTACAAATCCATTTATCTGCTATAATCTTATGATTTTTTAAAAATTTTGGTTTTGAAAAAGATATTTATTTATATTTTTATTTTATTCATCTATCTATCCTTTTAGATGCATTAATACAATAATTTTAAAAGATAAATTTTTTGGTACTTTTTTACCTTTAAAAATAATGATTAGTGGTAGTTTTATACTATCTGCAAGAATACATGTAAACTAATTTTTCTCATTTCCAGTTATTCAGATTTGAACAGTTTTTGCATCACGTTCTTCAATAGTCAAACTTCCAATCATATCAAAAAAATAGGAATTTTATTCATATTTTCATACCTAAACTTTATTCATTTTTCAATAATATATTGTTGAAATTGTAAAAGTTTTTTATTAAGATGAATAAGAAGCTTTTAACTAATTTTTGTTTTACGTTATTAAGCAAATCTGTTTCTTTTAAGAAAACAATAAAACCAATGATCTTAAACTAAAAAATTTTTACCATTCAGATAAGTATTAGCAGATTATTTTGTTAAAAGTTTTTTTATATAAAATTTAATCATTTTAGAAGTAACAGCAATTCCATCTCTTCAAAATTCCAAAAGTTATATTTTTTAAATTAGCTTCAGTCTCAGAATAATATGCTTTTCTTTCAGACTAACTTGTCGATTTTTATCTTTTGTAGATTTAAGTTTTTCTTCTTTTTTTTATTAATGAGAAATTATTGAATGATCGATAGTAAAATAATGAGAAGCAGCCCTTAAATTATATAGTTTTGCATATTGCAAAACTTCAAACTTTTCTAAAGTGAAATAAAAAGAATATTAAACTTTAAGCATTAAGATAAAAAAAAGGGATAATTGGTAAGTTTACTAACATCAGTCATATTTATTTTATGTAATATTACAATAAAAATTATAACATTTATTTTTACAAAAGAAAATTAAAAATATTTTTATTAAAATGTTATTTACTTTTGTTAAATTTTTCAAATATTAAAACTTTTTTCAAAAAAAAAGCCACAAATAATAAAGTAGTACATGAAACTTTCTGATTTTAAGTACCATCCTGAGTTTTAGTCCAATTTTTCCTTCAAAAATGTGATGCTTAAAATCAGCAAATATGATACTCAGAGATTGCTAAAGCTTCAGAAAAGATTCCAAAAAATATACTTAATAAAATATAAACAAATCATCTCAAAACTAAAACAAGTTCCTTAACTTGCAAAAGTAAACTATTCAAATTATACAAAAACACAATCATATCAGCCATATCAGAAATAAAAGAGGTGATCTCTAAAATATAATATATATTCAACTTTTATCATTAGAAAAACTTCTAATCAAATAATATTATCATTAATGTTTGACAAGGATCAATATAAAATATATAACATCTTTCAGAATATATAAGATTAGAAAATGAAGAAAAATATCTATGTTTCTTCATGACCAGATCTGCAAGAATATGTAAAATATTTATGACTCTCAAAAGTAGTAGAAATGCTAAAAAGTAAAAAAAATCAATTACCTATTAATGATTCCAATAGTAGTAACAGCTCAAAATATCAATAGTAAAATAATACATTCAGCACTAGAAATAAAATAAAAAGAAAAATATTATTATATATTATCCTTAAAAGACCAATCTTTAAAAACAGAACTAATAAAAATCAAAGCAATAATAATAAATGAAATCTCAATAGTTTCCAATGAACTTTTCACATTCTTAAGTAACATGTTCAGTTTACTATACAAAAATCACAAAATCTTTGGGTAAATTTCTACCCTTATAATCAAAGATCTAATATAACTACCATTAATAAATGAAGAGAAAACATTCTTCTCACAAGCATAGAAACTATTTTTCCTTTTATTCCTAATCAAACCAAAACATCAAAAAGAAAACCTAGAATTCTATTAACTCCTACAAGAACTAAAATTTGGTAATTTATCTAAAAAATCAATAAAAATAATCAATGAAAAAATGAAAACTTCACAAAATCCTAAAAAAAAAACTCTAAAATTTACTTATATAATCAAATTACAAGAAACATCAGAACAAATAAATAAATTTATCTGCCAGAACTTGCCATTCGATAACCAATATATAGATCTAATTATATCATAAGTAATAAATATTCTAAATAATGAATTGCAACTAATCTAAAATACATTCAAATATTACATAAGCCTTTCTGAATAAATTATTATACAAAAAGAAACAAGAGTAATATACCTAAACAACAAACTATTTGACCACAAAATATATAATAGATTCATCAGAATTATAACTAAAATAATAGATATTGACAATGTAGAAGTTACATATCTAATAAATGTTAATATCGTAAAATTAACATTTAAAAAACACATGCAAAATTTGAAATAAATAGAGCATATGCCACAAAATACCAATTTTTATTATAAAATACTTTCACCTTAACAGTACACAAAACTCAAAGAATCACGTTGTCACATATAATAATAACTATTAATAAAAATATATTTATTTCAGGTCAAATATACGTTGCTATAAATAGAACACCCTTATAAAACAAAATAGATATCTATTATTTTGATAAAAATCAAATAAAAACTGATAAAACGTAATATTAGAATACAAAAGATTAAATTTCAAATCACAAAATGGCCTAAAGCTAATATAATAAATAATGATTATTAATTAGCTAAAATAAACTAAGAACAATCAGTATCAAATCAAAAAATTCACGTCTAATTATTAACTAAAATAAAATTGTAATACATAACACAAACTTCTATAGCTTTTGAAATTAACAAACTTATTATAATGTAATCAAACCAAAAGTAATGATTATAATAAGCAAGTCTGATTATATTTTATATATAGTCAGACCTATATACAGTGACCTCTTCAGTTTCATCAAAATCAGTGATTACATAAAGGAGTAAATAACCTGTATATAATTTCCGCTATATTAAAAATAACATGTTATAACTATATACTGTAAAGTTGTTATTATTATATATTATAAAATATTTTACTTTATTAAATGCTATATTAAATATTCAATATTATTAAGTACTATTATACTAAATACTATTATAATAAATATTATTATATTAAAATGCTATGAAAATATTAATTACTATAGGATCTCACTTACTTTTAATAGAGGTTATCCACAAGTCTAAGGTAAAAATTATATAAAATAATCAAAAAACTGGTTGAATTTATAAGGTAAATTTACTTAATATTAAAAAATGTAACTGAAATTTCATGGTAAATTTTTTTTATGTCACTGATAATATATGGTAAAATGAAAGCATTTTTTTAAAATGTAACTTATAATTAATAAGGTAAAATCTATATATTCTTTAAAGATGTTACATTTATTTATAAGGTAAAACTTAAAATGTTCATATGATTAATTAAGTAAATTATCTAATAATGTTTATTTAAATATTTTTTATTTATATGTGAAGTTATAAATTATTTATGTAAATAAAATAAAAATGGGAAAGTTTAAAAAATATAAAAAATATACTGCAAATAAATCAGTAATAAAAAAGCTTAAAATAGTCTATACACTTAATGATGTTATTTTTAAAAATTGTGATAAATTAGAATGTTACAAAAGATTAAAAAACACACATATTTTTTGAAAGTTATTAATGAAATAACTGTACAATGTATGTGTAATAAAGAAATTAAACTTAATAAATCTTATTGTGCTCATAATCTAGATAGTCACTCAAAAAGTAGTTTGTATAATTTTATAGCTACAAACAACTAACTTTAATTTCTTTTTGAAAAAATCAAAAGTTAAAAGAACAAAGACCAAACGAATTACCACATGTCAGTGTTACTTGTTCAGATTTAACAGATGAAAAGTATCACAATTATATTCTTTTAAGTCCTTTGCAATATAGTAGTAGCTGACGACCTGATATCATTGCATATGAATTATTTTCAGAAAAATTTTCAAATCAAAAAAATTATTCATAGTATGTTTTAAATGATGATTAAAAATAATTCTTAAAAGAAATTTATTTGCTTACTATTAGTAGAAAATCGATAAGGATCTGGTTGCTATATTTAGTATCAAATATTCAAATTTTATTACAAATGAATCTGGTATTTATGGCGAGTATTTGGCTCTTACAGCTAACCTCTGACTTAAAAATGCTATCAATTCAGTAAATATCTGCAATACTGTTTGTTAATATATTTATATAAATATTAAATTCATTAATTATTTATTTTATTATATTTTAGAAACAATATA